TACAGGGGGAATCGAGGATATGCGAAGCACAAATGAGGAAGGGTGATAGGTTTCCTTAAAATCAGCACACCGTTAAGAGGTGGAGGTATATTATGCCGTACATAACTTCCATGGCATGATTATCATGTTTGGGCGTTTCATTCACGTTCGTCATTTATTAACGTCACCTGATGACCAACTTTGGTATAGCTAGCGTAACGGCCGTGAGCGTGCTATGAGCGTAGCATGAAGCCATGTTTTACATGAAATCCATATTATGATGATCATATTTGGACGTGTCATTTACCTTCGTCGTCTATTCACTTCCCGTGACACCAAATTTGGTACGTGTGGCGCGACGGCGGCGAGTGTGTCATGAAGGGCCCAATATACTCCGACGCAACGTTGACGCACGCGCAGGTTGGGCGCAGCGACGCCACGCTAGCAAAATGCGAGCACTCTCTAGTGTGACGCCAGGCGCGACCGGCGCGACCAGCGTCTGTCAGCGCGGCCCGTTGGCAACCAGCGTGAAATGCGACATGCTACATTTCACGCCGACGACGTTACTTAGACAGCACCGCGTCTGCCTCTCTTCGTGACGGAGGGACGTCGTGTGCGCTCAAACGCGCATGCGTCAATAGAGAGGTTTAGTACTGCGGAAAAGTGCTACGTACGCATCACGCAAGCGCCTTGCGTTACGTGGAGTCGTTTGCCACTAATCGCCTTTTAGTACGCCGTAGTACCCGCGTACGTAACGAGCGTGAAGCGTGTTGCGCCATCTGGTATATCAGAATAGAAGCACGTGTTGTTGACCGCCAACGTGAGCCAATGCAAGTGTTATAGCCAGATTATGGCCATATTTTAAGCCACAGAGACGGTCGGTGCTTGCCTTCGATGCCACCATTTTGCAAAACGAAGTCTCGCGCTGTCGCGAACTTGTTCGAGAGCGTCGCGATCACCTCATACGTACGCACGCACGCATCTCATGCGTGCGTACGTAGCGGCTGCGTACGTAATGCGATACGTGTGCGTTGCGGTCTGCGCATGCGCACTACGCAGAATGTGGCGTCCTTACGTACGCAACGCCGCCACGTACGCAGCGTACGCAGTACTAAAACTCTCTAATGCAACGCAGCGTGGCGCGTACCTGCAAGCATACGGCATACAGATCCACAATGAAGGTCAGTGGGCAGATCCACCTATCTCTACTAGGGGGATATCGGCACCTGGCCTGGCATCGCCGGCGTGACGCGATAAAACGAACGCCAGCGCGTACGCGCGCCGGCTCACGTCGAAGTGCATAGGCGCCTTGAGTGTGGCGTGTGTTAATGTTCGTACATGACACCCTTCTCATGATTATCATGTTTCCACCAGTCACATGCCTTCGTCATTCATTCACGTGACGTAATTCCAAATTTTGGCATATGTGAAGGTAGCGAAACAGCCGCGAGTGCATCATGAGTGTGAGACGTAGTCATGTTGTTACATGACATGCATCTCATGATTATCATGTTTGCACCAGTCACATACCTTCGTCATCCATTTACGTACCGTAACACGAAATTCGGTATATGTGACGCTAGCGAAACGGCCGTGAGCGCATAATGAGTGTGGCATGTACTCATGTTGTTACATGACACGCATGTCATGATTTCCATGTTTGCGTCTGTCTATTGTGATGGCCATGCGACTATGCGATACCATGCCAGTTTTGCAACATGCATGCATGTGAACGAAACCACCGCATGAGCTGCAGAACCTTGAAATGTAAATCATGACATTAATGACATACATGTCATGATTTTCATGTTATGACTAGTAAATATGTTCTCCATGCAGTCATGTTGTGCCACGCCAAGTGTCGTATTGATACAGTTATCGAAAGGGCCAGGAGAGCTAAAAGTCTTAGATAGATAGATAGATAGATAGATAGATAGATAGATAGATAGATAGATAGATAGATAGATAGATAGATACGCTCAACATCACCGAAGTTCGCTAAGAAATGCTTCGCATTAAAAATCATGGTGGAGTGGGAACCTTACAGTAGGCATTCCCGAATAGTGTGAAACGGGCAAGGTGTCGAGCACAAGTTCGTTTTCTTGCGTCATCGTGAGCATCATGGGCATGACCTGAAAGCAAAGACAGGCCAGCAATAGACGAGCTGATGGACACGGGGCTTGGGTACGCTATCACGTACCACTTTTGAAACAGGAGCTCAAGTGTACTCTAAGTATAGTTTGTGTGTGTGTGCGTGTGTTGTTTTAACGCAATAGGCACCGTTCAGTCTAGTTTTCCAGTATGACTACAGTGCCAGAATACATAGCCTAGCGAATAAAAAAAAAAGAACTTTGAGACGGCGTTGACGAAGATGGAACGTTACGCGCGCGCCCCGCGCCCTGCATTGGATTGGATTGGATTGTGGCCGGGATACACGGGGGATGGGCGCACGCGTCTATTTCCTGCGTGCACCAAATGGCGAATGTCGTAGACTTTGAGACGGGGCAGTGTGAGTGACGCAGCTACCTCTGGTCAGTACGCGGTGGCTAAGGCGTTAAAGAGCTCGTTTAGCAGGAATTCTGGCGTTGGTGTCAGCGTAGGCGTCGTTGGCTGATAGCGAAAAAGTACCTTGTTTGGAACCGAGATGTTGAGAAAAATGCAAATAAAGTAATAAAATGTTTCGGGTTTGATAGAGGATTTAACTCAGGCCGTTTGCGTGGTAAGCTGTTGTTCTAACACACAGCTACGCGACTCCTTTAAAACAGTGTGAAATTGACTCCATCTTCTCAGAAATGCAGCAAAAAGAACAACCATATCCGTTACAAACACACGTATCCTGTATACGGGTGTCATAAAACAAGTTGTAATATTGCATTAATATTGTGTGGTACAAGCATACATTACTATCGAGAATCAAAACATGGGATTAACATAACGACTTCGTGGTTTACAGCCGGCAACCCTTCAGAAAAGGTGCAGGCATTAGGGCGCCTTATTCCCTGGCGACCACGTAGTGGTCCCTGGCGTCCCTGTGTCCCTAGCGTCCATTGCAAGTTCGAAATCACCTCTCGCGTATAATTGCTCGAGCTTCAAACCATGCTATCTGTTACACTGAATGCAGCCATTTGCGAAAGTTTCTCTGACAAAAGCCACTTTAATCTTTATCGAGTCCATTGCATTAAGCCACAATTTAAACTTCTCGAGTAGCCTCATGCAATAAAGAATCACAACATATCCACGCAGTGCATGATGATGTGTGGCGAAGCGTTCGTCAGTCTGTCCGTTTGTTCTTGCTTCCGTCCGTCCATTCGACCATCCAACTGTGCGTCCGTCAGTGCGTCCATTCATGCGTTCACCCGTGTGACCATCCGTCTGTCCGCGCGACTCTCCCTGCGTCCTTCCAAGCATCCATCCACGCATCTGTCCGTGCGTGCACCCGTGCGTCCGTCCGTTCATCTACTAAACACTCCAAGCACCGCTATCTCGCATATTTTCATCATATATTGGTCATATAGAAGTAACGCAATCCAGTAGACATTACAAGGACTGAACCAGAGTTGGCTACCTCCTCATCCTCCTACTACTACTGCATACATCGTTGACACACAACTTATGGCTTAAGGAGCTTCACCCCTAAAAAGTGTGCATCAACTGCTTGAAGTACGCACTATGGAGAGGATTTTGCTATCGCGTTCAGATTTCAAAGGTCACGCTTAAGGATGCGCTATTGTTTTCATCTTCCTACTTGAGTGGACGATTGTATGACTTCAATGATTAAATAAAATTTCTGTTGGTTATCTTCTGTCAAAATTATTTTCTCTGCTCTGATTTAACGAATTTCATATCTGTGAAAAGGAGGAGCAGGCCATATACAAAAAACCCTAACATCTGCTTACGCAACGTATAAAAAAACGCCTTGTTTATTCCTTGGTCTATCTGTTGCATTTCGCGAGTAGTATTTTATTACAAAAAAGCAAGAACTAGCACATTAAGTGACCTATCTTCATAGTAAGCCAATCAAAATATAAAGAAAGATGAAAACGAAAAATAGCAGTCAACAGATCTGTATTGTTCGTTAGCTATTGTGTGATAGCAAGTACGCTTGCTGTAAGGAGGACAGCTTTCCCTGATTGCAAAACAAAATTAGGGGATTCTAAAAACTTCACCTTTAAGAGTTGAACGCACCAGCGATATCATGTTCTTAGTGCGTACTTAAAAAAATTGCTATGTACCCATTACATGGCCTTAAGGGAATAGCCGCCGTACGTGTGTGCCTTTTGTAATGGGTTTGTCAGCTTTAAACCACGAAAGCATTAGAATAACGACATGTTTTGAAGCCAACGGACTTGGTGTTTGTGCGCTCTTTCCTTTCCTCAGTGCTGGATAGCACCCGGTCATTGTAGAGTGGTTAACATCCCGCATTTCCTTTACCTCCTGTTTGTGTTCTTCTTTCAATGGCAATGGGGCGCTTGTCCATGTATTACTACTGCAAAATTTGGTGTTGTTTGTGAAGCATGTATGCAAGACTTGTGTACTTGTAAGCAAGAAAAGTTACTTTCACTGCATCTCTAAGCAGAGGAAGTTATTTTAACTGTATTCACAAGTATATACGTGGTTGCGTCGTCAAATATTTGTTTGCCACGCAAACGACCTGGGTGCGATCACCAGTCGGAACAGAATCGACCCGGCTTAGATCCCCAATCTGACCCAGGATTTTATTCACATTGTTCTCGATTTTTCACTCACGCATAAGATGGTAATTTCTCGCTGAAAACTGACGACGCCCACGACTAATTTATACGAAACAAGCTGTTTAACGCTTTCGCGTCGAAACAATCGTTGAAAGTCTTCGTACCACTTCAAACACACCGCACAACCACAGGCTTCCTGGTGGATCTTAGTTGCACTTGCTACGTGGACTACATTCTGTGATCGAAAACGCTTAAAAAAAAAAACAAGATTGCCCGTAAAAACCACACTGCAATCGTCTTTTCAATCGTGTGGCGGGTCGCGCAACGCAGGTCCCAGTCTGAGGCGCAGGTCTGGAGCCGTGATTACGTCCAGAGATGCACGAGAGGCATGACCCGGGGCTTATGCCGACCGACTTTCTGGACGACATTAAGAAGGAGATCATGGAACGCTGCTTCAAGTCGAGCTCGTACCGTGACGGTGAGTGAACACCACCTTGAGAGGTGCGCTTGCAAGTATACGGTGAACAAATAAATTGTACTGCGGCAGCAATGGATAGTGGGGGTGTGCCTTACGAAGAAGAAAACCTTTTCTACGGTGCTATCCTATGTGTTACTGCTCGCTGCTCTGTCCTACCATCTGACGATTTCGTTACCTAGAACGTGTCTCAGAAGGTTACTTGTTTACTTAATTAAATAAATAAATATTACTTGTTAGTTAATATTTTAAATGATGTCAACGAGCTAGCCCACTCCAAGGCACGATGCTTCACTTACCGCGCTGGGTCTTGTGCTTCTCAGACAGAGGAATCAGCCTCACCTTCATTTTGGGGACATTTTGAATACCTTCACGGAGATCACAAAGCACTATAAATTAGGAGGTAGGTCCTTTCCATTGCCCACACGAAAAGTTGTATAGGCCACGCAATCTTTCTTGGCATGCTTCAGACGGTAACATACCCAGCCTCGTAACCTATAGCCATTACTCCGACATTTCAGAACGTTGTCCAGACTGCCACAATCGCAGTGATTTTAGACACACCTACTACACACAACGAGATTACCAAGTATTACTACATGGAGAGGCGGGCATTCCCAATGCCACATTCAAAACTCAATATAGCAGAGGCCGTCTCGTTGCGCTTACTTCAAACCCATTCGTACCCGTCGTTAGCATACCTAATGCAATTTATCCTCACAAATTCCCCCGATGCCAACCTGCGCCGCTACGGGCAGACCGCTACGTTAGCACACATGCTCTGGAGTGCTGGTCGCTTGGACCGACTTATAGCAAACCCGAGTGGGATGCGCTTCTGCACAGCCCAGAACTTCATGACCAAATCCTGGCCGTCCAAGTGTGCCCGCGACAGGGCCATCAGGCTAGACCTGCCGGCCCCCGCGTGGGAGTAGCCGGTGACGCGTGGCCAAACTCAGCGTCTGCACTAGACAATAATAAAGTTGTTCTCACTCACTTTAAACCACATGCTCTGGAGTGCCCCTCTTTACAAAAAAATTGAGATTTTCCTGAAAATTTCTTTTATGTATAGCTCACGACTGTTGTTTTCATACAAAAACTCAAGGCTGTCAAGAAGGCACACGATGCGGCGGTGAGGCTAGGCCTCCCCTTCCCAAGATGGAGCAACCCGCGACCCCTATAAAAACGGGGGTGGAATCCTTCAGGACCCCATAAAAGTTTTTCATCCATACATCATCCATTCGTAATCAAGATAGCTTCCGGAGCCTCTTAAGCAATCGTCTGGGACAACTTTAAGGGCGAAAGTAATCTTGTTTGCTTCTGAGTCGATTCAGTGATCACCTACACCATCTTGTGAAAGTTTTGTGCGCCTAACCTCGTTCCTGCTGCCTCCAAGATGGGATGAATTGGAGGCCTTCTGGCCTCACACTGTTTTTCGTGGCCTCCGTGATAGGTATACTTTCACCAAAGCGACCACTTAATGTGTCGACGTCAGTCAAGTGATGTCACGTTATGACATACTGACGTCCACAAATTTTCGTAACATGACACGTCGTGATGATGTCATCACACGATGGCGGTATTTCGCATTACTCGTGTGAAGGCTGCTGACGTGAACCGCCGACTTTCGTATTGGGGAAGTATCCGAAGGCTTTCGCCTTATTAAACGACTCACTGTATTCGTTGTGCGCTTGCTTGCAAACGACTCAAAGGCGAGCACGATCTTTTCTTTTTTAGCGCGATAGCATCACGCAGCTCTTTCCTTAGAAGTTTAGCTATCAGCGTAGTGTCCGGCGGCGTCCATGTCGTTGGTTGCTAGTGAAAAGTGGGTGTTGTCCGTGACCGAAAAATCTAGAAAGGCTTACGTGAATAAGAAGCAGTGAATCACGCGGAGAAGGGTGTTTCGGATACACTAACGCGTAACGCAAAGAAGTGTTTCGAAGGCACACAGAGCGCGCAGGCATATCTAATCATCATCAGCAAAAGCATCAACAACGTGAGCAGCTGTGTGGGCTCTCAGGCTGCCTTGCGTATGACTGTGCTCGCTTGTTCTCAAAAGGTAGAATTATGGCGTAATGAAGTCTTCGCAGCTTTACATGCAAAATGCATTACAGGATAGCTTGAAACTGCTAATGTTACGCGCACAGGCATTCGTTTCATGCGGATGATTCGGAAATGCACGTGAACCAAAGCTGGGCTTATATTGAAGTCAATGCGCAGAGGGATGGATTATGCTATCGCGTTTTACTCATCAAGACTAAGCTCAAGCACCCTCCGAGTTTTAAGTGAGAAGCCTTTTAGGAACTATGACTGTGGCATACCATCGTAGCTTGGCTTAACGCAGGCAAAACCATAAATAGCATGGTCACCTGCAA